AAAAAAAAAAAAAAAAGAACGACTCCACTTTCAAATTTTCTTCTCTACTTTCTCTCCTTTCTCTCTTTCATCTTCACGTCCAGTTTGGCATAGATTCTCTCCTACCAGTTCATATATATATCTCCAATATTAGAAATAAATAAAGTAAAGAGAGTTTTAATTATAGCTTTTTTGGAATTCCACTATGAATGAAAAAGCAAGAGTTTCAAAGGAGCTTAATGCTAAACATATGAAGGTACTTTCTTTAGCTTCCTTAATTCCCTTTAAATTTGGTTTTGTTTTATGTTTTAAGAATATTTTTCGTCAGAATTAACCCAAGTTTAGATTTGTCGAGTAAATTTTAATCCATAGTTTAATAGAGCATATATAAGTATGTTCATGACTCAGTATTGTTCTTGGTGTTTTTTTGTTTCTGGGGTTGTTTGATTCTTGAATTATGTATAAAAGACATTATTTCGCTTAATTTTTTATGGGGTTTCAATTAAACAACTTCTCTATGAAATTCTGAAAAAGGATGTAACCGTTATATATTTAAGAATAATTTAACTTTAAAATATCGTTTTACCTTAACTTGTATGCTTTTATAGTCACAACAATTTAAAGCGTATTTAAGACCACAAGTTTTCGGAGGTATATTACTTTCTTTAATGTTGTGCCCAATCAAACTTTCAGGACACTACATAAATTGAAACGGAGGGAGAGACTCAAGTAAATTTAATCCTTAATTTGATAGAACATGCTTATAACACATCATCATTCTTGGTATTTTCTGTTCTGGGGTTGATCCTGATTCTTGAATTATGTTGGTTCGAACAAAAATAGGACTTTTCGAGTTTATGAGATTGCCAAAAATTAAGTTTCTTGCTTAAATTTAATGGGGTTTCAATAAAACAGCTTCTGTATGAAGTTCTGAAGTAAACAAAAAAGTAGAAGAAAAAGATGTGGATTTTGGCCTTCTTCTGGTATTGAATGTGTGTTCATAATTATTCATATTGACTGTTTAATTTGGAGAATTTTCACTTGCTTGTGTGCAAAAAAATTTAGCTTTATTGGTATTTGACTTTACTTGACAAATAGGTGGTTGGTATTTAGATTCATTCCTTGACAGACTGCCATATGTATGTGTCCAACCTGTATTTCAACTGATATTGATTAATACAGGTCTTATTCATTTGATATGTCTGAGGTTGGTTTAGCATTATATACTAACTTCTCTGTCCAACCAACAATATAAATTATAGAATTTTGGGTTCTTTTTCATTTTAGGCTCTAGCAATGAAAGAATTAAAAAAATAAAAATCACTAAGTATATAAGTTCTTGACTACCCTCCCCAGACCCCACTAGTGGGATTTTAGTGGGTCGTTGGGGTAAGGGTAAGGTCTGCGTACACACTACCCTCCCCAGACCCCACTAGTGGGATTTTACTGGTTCATTATTGTTGTTGTTGTATATAAGTTCTTGGAGATTTGATGAGATTTCAATGTATTTGATGTCTACGTTGCGTGGACTCTCAAAAACAGCGGCTGGATCCGACACGCACCCATCGACATTTTCGGAGAGTCCGAGCAATATAGTTTGATGTTAATTAGCCCCTACTTCTGAGTAGTGATTCATGTCAAGTTTGGTGCTATCACCAATAAATGTTACAGTATTAAATTAGTATGTTGTGGCTGTACACAACTGTATAAGTTGAGAAGGTCATTGAGGATTTTCTTTACTTGTTTAACAATAGTAGTGTTAGGTGCAAACGGAACTTCAATCATTTTCAGAATTTTGTCTCTCTTTTTCCTACCCTTTCTAGTGCTCAGCTTTTTGGCCTATGTGAGCTATGAGACTTCAACAAAAGCAGGTTAGGGGAGAAAAGAGAAGAAAATTATATTCACGTAAACAAGAAAAGTTGGGTCTGATAAACATTTTGTCTGAATTATGAATAAGTAACAGGTCTAGTTCACTTAAAATTGAGTATTCAATATATGAACAAAAATCGCCGAAACAGGAAAAGTTGCATTATTACTTGGCTTGATATCAAAAGCATGCATGGAAAATAAGGTATTGCCATTGTTAGTTATATCATACAGAAGCTTTCTGGTAAGGGTAAAGCAGCATTTTGATCGGAAGAAATAAGAGCGAAGGAAAAATTTTCTAGCGAGATGTCATTTATGCAGCATCACTTGGACATTAAAACAACACCTAACTTCTTTACCATTGATCTGAGAGAGTGTGGATTTGTTGACTGCAGTGCTATCAAGTGTTGTTTTGAGCTGCTGTTGCTTTGGGAAAAGGTGGATTTTCCTAGTCACTAAACTAGGCTAGTCCTTTATTAACAACACAGAGAGAGAATTTGAGGCTGAATATTTTTCTGGATACTTGATTGAGCCATTGAGCCGAATTTAATAGCATTCAGACATATTCTTGAATTTGAAATGTGGCTGTATTTGAAAATATTTCTGTTTTTACCTTTCAAGAAGCTAGCAGTTTCTAAATATTTTTTCCATTAAACTTAAAAGAACTAATATTGTTACACTTAAGTTTTACTACCTCTATAAGAAAATGATTCTTTTTTCTTGTATCCTTCTCACAGATACTTGAGGGACTACTTAAATTGCCAGAGAATCGAGAATGTGCCGACTGCAAAAGCAGGTATTCCTTTGAGTATCACTATCCGTAGCTTATTGTGTTGGGCTAAAACAGCCCAAATATACTTTTAATATGGTGTGATATTGTCGTCTTTGGGCTAAGCTAGTATGATCTTTCCCAAAATACCTCACACCACTAAGAGTATCTAACAGCTTATAAGTAGATTCTTTTTCATTTCTACTTTCCATGTGGGACTTTGTTCACACACCCAACATAATGTGAACGAGAAAGACGTAATGATACGCTTAAACTCCATTTTGGTTGCTTGCACTCTATTGACTACTTGTTTTATGCAGAGGTCCAAGATGGGCTAGTGTGAACCTGGGAATCTTCATATGCTTACACTGTTCTGGTGTTCACAGGAGTCTTGGAGTACATATATCAAAGGTCTTGTTTCACAGTTCTTGTACTTCACTTTCCTTCTTTAACTTTTACATATTATCTGCTTCAACTTGGTTTCATCTCGTCACTTGTACGTGTTAGAATGATGATTAATGGTGCTATCTCGTTACCACTGATCATCTTCACGAACTACATTTAACTTTTTCCATTTCTGTTTATTTGCATAATAATGTCACGGGTTTGAGCCTGTGGAAGCAGCCACTAATGCTTGCATTAGGTTAGGTTGTCTATATCACACCCATTTAGATGCGGCCCTTCCCCGGACCCTGTGTGAACGCGGGATGCCTTGTGCACCGGACTGCCCTTTGCCCGTCCGACTCATTTTTAAAATTTTTGATACTCAATATTCCATAAGTTTTCTCATAACATTTCAATGGAACTTATGCATTATCGTGATGCAGGTACGATCTGCTACATTGGACACCTGGCTTCCCGAGCAGGTTGCATTTATACAAAGTGAGCCAACAATATTTTCCTCTGGCTCTTAACTATTTTCAGCAGTCTTTTCTTCTTCTTTAATAACTTGATTTCTTCTTACATTTAGCAATGGGAAATCAGAAATCAAATAGCTATTGGGAAGCCGAGCTGCCTCCCAAATCCGGCAGAGTTGGTATTGAAAATTTTATCAGATCAAAGTATGATATCACAGTTGATTGTTCCGCAAAATTATCTTACTATTATTGTTATCAAGTCATGAGTTTCTTCACCTGAATTTGGAAATATTTCACTTCAAGATCAACTTTATTAACCACTGTAAATTTGCCAGATATGTGGAGAAAAGATGGATACCACGAAAGGGGAATGTGAAAGCATCTCCTCGTGTCAGAGGAGAACATAATTCGGCTAGTAAACAGGGGACTGACGGGGATACAGTGTATATCAAGCGGAATATTGCACCTCCTGAATTACCTAAGCAGGTAAATACGTCGGTTCTGTTGATTTACTGGATTTGTATATATTCGCTCGAAGTATTTAGATGCATTTTATTCCAGTGCATGTTACAGGTCGCCTCCACTGCTTCCTTCATTTTGTAGCTACTGCATTGATCACATACAGGTTGGCTACATGATATGATTTTAATAAGTAAATTATATCGATACTTCTGAATAGTTATGATATAAATAACTTTTATTAGCTAAAATAAAAACAAATTTTGCATTAACATTATATCAATTTAGGACAGATTGTTTGGATATGATGTTTTATTTCGGCTTTTCTAACTCCTCTGTCTGCACATTTAGATGATCCTTTAGAGTCTTTCCGGTACCTTATATCTTGTATCAGTAGATAAAACTCTTTTTTGGTCAATGTTCTGAACAGATTGCCGCTGATCCTAAGCCAAAAGTTGTTCAGAATGCAAAACCAGTAGCCGCTGTGGAAGAAGCAAAGCAAAAGGCTAATGTAACCCCCCGGCTGTCTGAATATCTAAAGTTTTCGACTTTCTCTTCATACTTTAGATTGATACGGAATTTGATGTTTGGATATGGTTAATAGGTTTCTTCTGATTCCCAGCAAAAGGTTCTTCAGAATGTAGTACCGTCAATCTCTCAAGTCGCAAAAGCAAAGCCTGAAGCGAATTTCTCCCCAACTGTATCAACAGCTAGCAACAACTATGCTGCTGACCCAAATGGAAATGGATCTGTTCTAAAGACACATTCGATAGGAGTGCCCCAACGTATGTCTAACTAACTATAATATTTATTTGGACTAACATGAAAATAATTATGCTTCTGCTGCTTATTCCCTATTATCTTTCACCTCGATTTCTTAGTATTTTGTTATTGTTACAGCTTGTTGGTACTGTTTCCTTGTGTCGTTATTATCTTTCTGGCCCTATTTTGTTGATATTGCTTGTTTTTTACTGTTTCTGTTCGTCTTTCTTGAGCCGAGGGTCTTTCGGAAACAGTCTCTCTACCTATCCTCCCCAAACCCCACGTATGGGATTTCACTGGTTTGTTGTTGTTGTTGTTGCTGCTGCTGCTGCTGCTACTTCTTATTCCTGAGAGCTTTTACCTCTTTTAATTTGACTAGAATTGTTGATCTAACATGCTTGAGTTTTTCACCACTGACTTTGTCTACAAATTATGCAGCGGGGGACGCAAAAACAGTAATCGAGCAGAATGCCCGTTCTACTGTTATAGAAAACAAGAACAAATTTGATGCAGGAATTGAGGAACTGATAAAAGATTTTCAATGGAATACCCAGCCTGTCTTAGAAAACCCCTTGCAAAATGTGAAGAATGAGGTAATGGATCTCTTCGGCGAGGTGCTTCCTTTAACATTATCAGTTAGAGTTGAAAATCCGCAAGTTATAACAATCATTATTACTTTATTAGTGCCTCGCGCAGGAATCAGATAGACCAAAATATCACTAGGCTAATACTTAACTGTTCTTCCCCTTTCTAGGCAAGTGCATATGTTAAAAAAACACCATATAACTAGCTTTAGTAAAGTCCGGGAGAAGTAGTTAACATTGATTCTCTAGATTGATTTCCTAAGATTGTGGAAGTTAGTGTTATTATGTGCAGCGCTAATCTAAGTTGCTCGGACTCTTCACTTTTGGTGTCGCACCTGTGTCGACACGACGTGGGTGCGGGATCCGTACCGGATCTAGTCAACCATTTTTGAGTACTTTGAACAAAATCGACGGAGAAATTTGGGGCAGATACAATGATTTCGGAAATTAGAACAAAGCCTAGGGTAAAATTGAAGAAAATGAAATACCTTGTATATTATGTCAGTTCTTTTCCTTTTATCTCCTGCTCGGATTCTCCGCTTGATCAATATTTGCACCCGAGTTCGAGCAACTTAGGCGCTAATAAGGTTAAATGTGTTTTTCTTAAAAGGCCTTTGCCCAATTCTCTGCATGATTTCTCTATACTGATCATATTCATGTAATAGCGCACTGATTGTCCTACTTCTATCCGTTGGCAGCAACAAAAGTCGCTGAATCCACAGCAGCCTCCTCTGGTGCCTACTACAGTAAAGCATTTTAGTTGTCCTCAAACCATGTATCAAGCTTCAAATGGAAACCAGCAATTTTATCAGGTCCATGGAAATAAGCAGGTTGGCCTATTGAATATAATGAGTTTTTTTAAATCCTAAATCAAGAATTCTCTCTTACTTTTATCTTCAACTTTTTTCATTCAGATGGGAAGCGCTCAACATTTACACGCATCTACGCCATCAGCCTATGCTCTAAACCCCAGGTACTCGAAGCATTATGTTGATTTGCTAAGTGTGCATATCGCATTCACCTCTTGTTTAGACCATGTGTATTTACCTTTCTTTAGCTAACTTGGTAAAATTTGGCTCTTGGTTGTTGTATAAAGGTTAAGTTTTATGCACAAGTTAAAACCGCTACCATAAAAAACAACCTAATAACCTTAACAACCACCATTTAAAGCCTAATCTATACTTAAAGCGAGCGATGCCTAATCAACAGCTGAGAGATGATGATAATTTTTTTATTTTTTTTTGGGGGGGCGGGGGGTGGTGGGGGGTGTTTAAAACAGGAAATGAGAGAAGAAAGAAGTACAAAGCTTTTTCCATTAAAAGCAAACTAGTGATATGAGTCAAACATCTCTATAACATCGTCCTGAGCATTTTTTTGTTTGCTATATCGAAATGTTGTTATAGAGAATATATATTATAATAATATGACAATTTTTTTTTTTTGGGAGGGGGGGTTGAGGGTTAAACCTGGAAATGGGAGAAGAAAGAAGTACACAGTTCTTCCCATTACAAGTAGACCAGTGATGTCAGTCAAACCTCTCTTTAATATCTGGATTTTTTTTTACTCCTATAGCGAAGTGTTATTATAGAGAACATATATTATAACATAACATGACAAATTGGTTCCAAAAAGGTTTGGCCGTTATAATGAAGTTTTATTATATATAGAGGACGGCTGTTATAGAGAGATCTGACTGTATTTACTGCTGCTATACGGCGAGGTAATAACCTGTTGTTTTTTCAAATATTGCAGCATGTTTTCTGCAATGCCAGTAGCTCCAATGAATGGAATAACAGCAACAGGAGCTATTAGGCCTTTGCCAAGTTTGCCAGCAGTTTCAGTTGTTCCAATGCAATCAGGATACCATTATGATTTCTCATCGTTAACGCCTGAAATGTTATCAAGACGATAAATTATCATCGAATTAATTAATATCGCTTTTCCATTTATTTAGAATCTGCAAATATTGTAAATGTTAGAACAGTTCCACAGTGACTTCTCCCATTTTTTCTTGGAGGTGTTAAACATTACAGGGAACTAAGCCATGTACCATCAATTATTGGTTGATCCATGTTATAGCAAGTTGTTCTTTTATTATATATACATGGTACAATGTCACGACCCGGATTTCCCACCATCGGGAGTCGTGATGGCGCCTACTCGTGAAAGCTAGGCAAGCCGGGTATTATAGATTCACTAACTCTTTTATTTAGCCCTTTTTAACAGTTTAAAACAACATACGATCAACAGTGAAATATTAACAATAATTAAAGACATGCGGAAGACGTAATCTGATAACTTAGCCAAAAACAAGTACGACAATACCGAGTACATCTCTATCCGGAACTGGTGTCACAATATCACGGACCATCTATGAATACTACAAACAATTGTCTGGAAAGAAAGATACAATCTGTTTCTGAAGTAAATGAAAATAGAATATAAACATGTAAGAGAACGTCGAGGCATGCGGACGCCTGCAGGACTACCTAGAATTCTCCGACTGGACTGAAGGCAGCCACCCAAAGCTATGGTCCAAAAGCTGCCGCTCCGGATCTGCACACAGTGCAGAGTGTAGTATCAGCACAACCAACCCCATGTGCTGGTAAGTGTCTGGCCTAACCCCGGCGAAGTAGTGACGAGGCTAGGACCAGACTACCAAATAAACTTGTGCAGTTATATCATATACAGCGGAAAAATAAAACAGAAATAGACAATTAAAGATGGGAGGGGGACATGTTGCAGAGAAATATCATTTACCGACAGTAATTTAGGAGAAAAGCATAAAGAACAATCTAAAATCTATAGCAAAAGAATAAGGAAGCCGTAACCAATCAATAACCACTTTTATTATTCATTGTTGCGGCGTGCAACCCGATCCAACTCATAAAGACACTGTTGCGGCGTGCAACTCGATCCATATCATAAAACACTGTTGCAGCGTGCAACCCGATCCAATTATAATATTGTTGCGGCGTGCGACCCGATCCGAATATAATATTATTGCGGCATGCAACCCGATCCACATATAATATTGTTGCGGCGTACAACCCGATCCACATATACAGTTTAACACTAATCACAAAGAGAGTCCCCGACAAGGGAACAATAAAGAAACAACACTATCCCGGTAAGGGAATCGACAGTATAAGTAAATACGTCCCGGCAAGGGAAATTAGCTATAACGAAACTTGTTCCAACACCTAACTTCACAAAAGAAACCTCAACCAGCACTACCCAATCATAAGCAATTTCCACGAGAACAATCATAATCCTTGCTCAACACAGAGAATTAACAACTTAGGCATTCATACTACTTATTAAGAATACAACAATTTCAATTTAAGACTCACGGTCATGCTTGACACCAACGTATAGATACTCGTCACCATGCCTATACGTCGTACTCAACAACTAACACATAGCAAATATGACACAACTCCTAATCCCTCAAGCTAAGGTTAGACCAAACACTTACCTCGAACTTCCACGGCCAACTCAAGCCTCAAACACCGCTTTTCCTTTAGAACCCGCCTCCAAACAACTCGAATCTAGTCCAAATTGATTTAACATCAATAAATGCTAAAGAATTCATACCCAATGCTTAATTATAGGTTTTCTATCATTTTTCCCAAAAAGACAAAAATTGACCCCGGGCCCACTTGGTCAAAACTCGAGGTTTGGACCAAAACCCGATCACTCATTCACCCACGAGCCCAAATATACAATTAATTTCGAAATTCGACCCCAAAACAAGGTCTAAACCCCAATTAATCAAAAAGCCCTAACTCTACCCAAATTCCTAATTTCTACCATAAAAACTCTAGATTTTAGGATGAAAATTGATGAAATGCAATGGGAAATCGAAAGAAAAAGGTTTAGAATCATTTACCAATGTTTTGGGGAAGAAATTGTTCTTTGAAATCGCCTCAATGCTCCCAAATTTCGAAAATATGAAGTAAATGGGTTCTGCCCATTTTTGCTTCTGTTTTAAAATCATTGGGTAGGCCTTCATCGCGTTCGCGATAGGCCTGTTGCGTTATCGCGAACGAGATGGTCAGCTGGGCGATCAGAAGCTCGCGTTCGCGAAACTTTAGCTCACAGAGTCATCGCGTTCGCGGTCAGGTGACCGCATTCGTGTAAGGTAAAGTGTGAAATCCCTCCCCCAGGCCACAAATCCTACGCGTTCGCGAGGGCCTGGACGCGTTCGTGTAGGGTATTCCCCCCACAACCTCGCATTTGTGAAGAACAAATTTTCACCTGAGGGAGATTGCCTTCCACATTCGCAAGTGAAGCCACGTGAACGCGAAGCAGAAAATCCCTGTGCATCAGAAACTGAAAACCTGCAACTTTTTCTAAGTTTAAAACTTTCCGAAACCTATCTGAAACTCACCCAAGCCCTCGGGGCTCCAAACCAAACATGCATATTAAATCAAAAACATCATATGAACTTACTCGTGCGATCAAATCGCCAAAATAACATCAATAACTATGAATTTAGCATCAAAATCATGAAATCGCTTAAGAACCTCAAATTTTCCAATTTTCTCAAATACGGTCCGATTCACGTCATTTCAAGTCCGTTTCTTACCAAATTTTACATACTCAACTTAAATCACATATAAGACCTGTACCGGGCTCCGGAACCAGAATACGGGCCCGAAAACATCAAATTTTAAGCACATTTTATTTTCAAAAACTCATAAATATTCCAGAAAATAATTTTCTTTAAAAATTCATTTCTCGGGTTTGGGACCTCGGAATTCGATTCCGGGCATACGCCCAAGTCCCATATTTTCCTACGGACCCTCTGAGACTATCAAATCATGGGTCCGGATCCGTTTACCTAAAATGTTGATCGAAGTTAACTTAAACTCATTTTAAAGGCAAAATTCATCATTTTTCACATAATGGTTTTCCGGCTACACGCTCGGACTACGCACGCAAATCGAAGTGAGACAGAAAGAGATTTTTAAAGCCTCAAATACCGAATTTATTTCTAAAACAAGTGATGCCCTTTTGGGTCATCACATACAATCTTTTCATAAATTAGATAAACTGAAAACGTGGTTCTCTACTAGTGTTATTCTCTTGTTTCCTATATTTAGATCGCTATTAATACTTGATGTTTCCTTTGCTTCAGTATTATTTTTTTAGTTGTTGTTAATATTTCGCTTTCTGTAGTTCTTTGTCATAAGTGTTGTGATTTTGCTTTTATTGAGTCGAGAGTCTTCCGGTAACAACCTCTCTACTTTCACAAGGTAGGGGTAATGTCTGCGTACATACTACCTGCCCCAGACCCCATTGTGAAAATATACTGGGTTTGTGTTATTGTTGTTTGTGGTTCTCTACGTCGCTCGATATTACCATAGTTAAGTGTAATTTAAGGTGAAAATATATATTAGTTAATCATCGTTAAAGGATAAAAGTGTATGGAAAATATATGGAGTCCATTACTTAAATAGTCACTCAACTGTTTGAAATTATCTGGTAAAGTCATCTTTTTTTCGTTTGTAACAGAAAAATCACTTAACTATGCTTATAGCCCTCAGAAGGTAACTCAACCAGATTTCTCAAACTTTTTATTGTCAAATATATTATCAACCTTTATCTTCTTCTTTTTATACTTGTTTAATATTATAAAATTTTCTCTTTTTAATCTACATTATAGACTTACCTATAGAATAAATAAATTTTATTTATAAAATAAAAAATTAGTTTCTAGCATATGTAATATTAGAATAACAATATAATTAAGCATAATTTTTAAGAATATATAATATATTATAAAATACATTTATTTTAAATAATTATCTTTTATATTACGTGCATGGAATATATATTTTAAAAATTTTATTTTTTTTCATTCTCAATGGCTTAAATAGTTTTTTTAGTTTTTGTTGTTAATATCAAAATTATAATTACGAATAAATTATTCTAATTAATTTTTTACTATGATAAATATTTTATTATTCCAACATTATATATGCTTAAATACTGTTTTTATTTTTTTAATTTATAAATAAAATTTATTTATTTTATAGGTAAGTCCATAATATAAATTAAAAAGAGAAAAAAATCATAATATTAAAAAGTTAAAAAATAAAATAAAAATGACAAAAGTTGATAATTTAGAGGGTAATATAGGTATTTATCAACTAAAAATTTAGAAAATCTAGTTGAATAACTTCTGAGTGCTATATGCATAGTTAAGTGGTTTTGCTGTTACAAACGAAAGAAAGATAACTTTAGTAAGTGATTTTGGATATTTGAGTGACCATTTGGGTAATGGACTCAAAATATATGTCTATCTATTACTAATTCTTTTGATATAAACATCACAAGTGGATAAGTATTTTTTTGCCGGATGATACATAATTATTGTAAATCGGGGCGGAGCTAGCATTCGATTTACGAGTTCGGTAGAACTCAATAGCTTTGGTATATACCCTATATTTCATCATAACTCAGCATTCTTTAGCTAGGTAAAATTTTAATTAATCTTGGATATTTGTAGAGGGAAGAAAATATTGGACAACCAAATCTCAAAAATATTCTATTAGATTATACTTATCTTGATAATATTTATTTAATATATTTTCTTGATAATTAAAACATACTCCCTCCGGTCCACTTTAATTAATTTTTAGCTTTTTTTGTGGTCCATAATATTTGATTTTTTCAGATATCAAGAAGGAATTAACTTCTTTTATCAAAGTTTCCCTTGGAGTAAACAGCCTAGGAGTATTTGTTGTATTTTCAATGAACAAATTAAGGTTAATATAGTCAGTTTTGTTGTTAATTAATACTAAAAGGTGGATTTCTTTCTTAATGAAATTTTTACATTCTTATACACTATATGAAACTATATTACCCTCCCTACTCAAGTTTTACTATAATTATATTTTATATACCCAACTACCATTTATGTACATTTTAAGGAAATTAATGATAATAATTAGTATACTAAAATTACTCTAACATATCTTCCATTGTAACGACCCGGCCGGTCATTTCATGAGTTACCACTCAGTTTCCCCCATTTCTGCTTCTTTATACTTTGTTCATCTATGTTATATAGTATCAGGTTAGTCGGTTC